TTTATAAGAGGCTTCTACTGCAACCTTTTATCAACGGGAGAAGTTGGAAAGAGGGTAGTTCCTTCACTCATCTAGGCAGCATCGTTTCAACTGTAGACGGCAAGCGTGATATTTATCAATGTCAGGGTCGGAAAGACAAGACAGACGTTGCTTCCTTTGAAATAATTTTGGAAGTTTTCTGTACTCCAAATAAAGGACACCATTCGGATTTTCAGCACAGATATTCTTTTATATCAGTCAGTCAGTGACAAGCGTGTCACGAAAAGCATTTCCAACACGCTTCAGACTTCATTAGCTCCATACTGAGATTCAGAAGACTAGAAACAGTCAGCAACCAGAAAAGCGACCCATTCAACAACCAATCAGTTAATAAATATGCCGAAAAAAATGGAGAGGGATTGGACAGACATCCTGCCAGACCAATAGCTCTAGTGGAACCTGAATGAGGAAAACAATGAGATGGGCGTGGGTCCGAGGTGTTGACATGGAAGAGATCGTGTGAAGAAGAGATGAAAGCTTATGGGTAGTTGTGCAGCCAGCTGATGAGGATTACGGAAAACATTAAGAAGACTAAGATGTGCTGTTGAAGCCCTATGTTCCACTTGGAACCCAGGGGGACTGAAACTGTTATCAACTTGATTGTTTACTTATTTTACTTCGGCTATCTTCTACGAGAGGATGAGCCGGCTTCATGAACATGAGAGTTCATGAAGTTTCATGGGAATTTTGTACGAGTGATGTCCCCAGAATCGCTCGGCCTTTTGTTTTAGAGTGCAGCTCTAGCCTTTACACAACCAAGTGTGACCTACAAGGCAGTAGGAGTGGGAGTAGGGAGTCCACTATCCATTGGCAGCCGGTGACCGGAGTTCGGTTCATACGCCTTTTTGAATGGGGCCAGACATCCAGGACATCCAACGAGCCCTTTGTCCATACGTCTGCCGGTGAGCTTCATCCGCCAGTCGTTGGAGGTTTGGAATCAGGGCTTAGCCATCTCCCCTAGACTGTCATCCAATGGACAGTCAACCCGGTGAAGAGCGCCGGGCATCCGCTTTCGCCCTCTCACTTTGGTGAAAAACACCTCCGCCACGTGAAGGCAGTGAGTAGGACTTCCTCAGGAGAGGCTATGTAAGACGCCCGGTCATATGGGAGCATTTCAAGAGGTGTGCGGAGGGTTGGCCAACCCGCAGCGCAAGGCACCCACCCCCAACCATCCTGAGGCTTTGGAGGCGAGAAGCGATTGTTTGTTTCCCAAATATTCAATTAGTTCCCCTGACAACTTTGTATAAAGTAGTAAGAGAGCAACTTTTTACAGAAGACAAGATGAATCGCCTTTTTTTCGTTATTTTATATGGATTTTTTCATCACCTGTATATAACGTGTAAGTATATTGGTAATGAATATGGAATTTAAACATACTTTAGCTGTGAATAGTCAAATCATTTTCCTATAAGAGTTGAAAATGGAAACAAGGAGGTACAAACTATGCAAGAAGTCGGAATAATCGATTATCACCAAAACCGAGACATTACATATTTTAAATGCAAGTGGCTGAATTGTCTATGAGCTTGCTTGTAACCATAAGGTCCTAGGTTCGAACCCTGGCAGTGAATGCATACTGCCGATGATTCCCAAACTAGGATTACACAGCTGTCCAGTACTCCCTGCTGGGGCTTAGTTAGTTATCAGCTACTCGTGGAATTGAGATCCTGCTCGATGGGTGAGATGGAGTTGGGCGGGATGAACCGAATTCGGATAACACTTTCTTGTTGGTAAATTACTTATCAAACAGTATTACTTCTTTCATTCACCACATCTACAGATGATACTGGTATCTTGATGTACAATGCAGGTTTACTGTATCCTCTGGCTGGTTATATTTGATCATAGGTGTCTGCATTCCACCTCCCGTGAGTTAGGAGGTTTAATAGGGTAAGTATTGTTCAAGTTAGGCGTAGAGTGTCAGGTAAGGAGGGAAAGTCAGCCAATCTGTGAAGTTGTGAAGCTACGTCGACTGAGATGGCTAGGACATGTGTGACGCATGACTAGCCATCATCTTCCTCGATAATAGGCAATGTTAGCCTGCCTGACTGACTGACATAGGATGGATCAAGTTGGAAAAGAGAAAGCTAGTGCTCGTCAAACCAAAACATGACTTCATCAGTCAATGAAATCCATGACAGTTAGTTTAAGCCAACCAGCCAGACACATAGGAAGGTGTAGACAACCTGAATGACTGATTGGGGTCCTCAGGATGCTAAGAACCAATGAAGGCTGGAAACAATTGATGATATGGCTCAAAATCGTTCTCAATGGTTGGCGTAGATGCATTCAGTCTTTGTGATCAGATCCAATAAAACTATTGTTCTTCCATTGTTCTTTTTCTCCATTCTTTTTCCCTCATTCACACTTCTGAATATTATCTCTTTCTTCTGAACCTCTCCGTTTACCCTCTTCTCTTGTTTTGTGTGCTACGTGGAGGGAGTGTGGGGCAACTGGACGAACTGCTGCAGTTCTTTGCAAAGTTCTATGTTGAAACTGGTCTGTCAGTTAGTCAGTATGTGCTGTCATTTGTATGCTGTATTCTGTTTAACAAAATTATAGTATATAACTGACAGTGTCATTCTCTTTGTTTGTTTGTTGATGAACAAGCTTAATTCACTCAATTAATGGTAGTCAATCAAATTTAATTTGTAAATTAAGGTTAGGTTGAATTATACTCGACAATTCAATTGTACTATTGATATCACTCAATTCAATATTCAATTAATCTTTTGAATATAAAAGCTGTATCATTTCCAATATTTCGATAGTAAATCGTTGAACAGTCGTATATTCTCTAAGAAAAATAACCCAATTACATGATAGTTTATTCTTCTCGTACAGTTTCATGACTGTTTTTACGTTCTCCATTGCATTTTTAGCTAAAATTCTGTCTCTTCAAGAGTTTTCTCTGTCTACATACACAAATAGAGATGTGGTTCATTGGATGGTTGTTAACCGTGTAACTTTTAGTCAGTAAGTTCTGGGTTCTAGTCTTGCCCCATTCACTCCAGCCTGCCCAACTAGGTAGTATTGTAACGACAGAAGAAGGCAAGGGCCAGGCAACAGATCGTTTATTGAGAGAATCAAGAAATATAGATTTCTATGTACATTATTATTAGCATTATTGCTAGCGGAGAAGCAACCGCCTCTGATTGGTTGTTTTCTTGACGAAGGTTATTCTGTCATCTCTTTATGACCGTTTCTTATAAAGTTAAGCCATGTATCTGCGATTCGTATTTGCACACGTTAAGTCCTCTGTGATTGGCTGGTGATTTTTTCAAGGTTAAGCTTTGTTATTGTTTTTTTCCTCATGACTCCAATTCGGGACGCAAACATTGACGTCAATTGTTGTCTACAATTTCGGTTTGCAGACATCTGTCACCACATTATCATCAAAAGTGCAGTACTTCAAGTTTGCCACACACTCTGTTTCTATATATAGGTTACAGAAGCATAGAAAATAAATTCGAAATAACTATAATGATGAGTAGAGAGATGTATGCGAGGAAAAATAATTACATGTACATCTAATAGAACTATGAGATTACAAAAAGTAAATGCATCTAAGCCACTTACAGCGACTTTGAGCTTTGATACTATCAATTTCAAGCTGTAAGTTTTTAGCATCCCGATTTCTCCAGCTCCGTCGGTTTTGCATCTTCCCATTTGGCTGCTTCAAACCAAATGTCGGAGAGTTCATGGATTGATTGATCTGGCTCTAATTAACTCTGACAGTTAATTGTTTGTTTAAGTGACGTAAATGCATCGTTGCAGTTCAGTGGGTTCGATCCCCGAACAACGCTAAGCCGGTAGTAAAGATTGGTAAAGAGAGCAGGTTGGTGTAGCATGAGACTAGCAACCCCAACCGTGTAAAAATAAAACCATTGCCACTGAAACTTTAAACGTTTAGCTTACAGTCCTATATTCCACCCAGAAAGCTAAGAAATAGAAACAAAAACTGAATCGTATTCAATTATTAACCTAATTTTAATCTTTCATACTCTCCTTCCCCATATCCTGTACAAACTTGACCTTTTTAAACATTCCCACCTACTGTTTTGCATGATTGATTCATTGTAGTTTATTTATTTATCGGTCGCATATCTCCCACTTCATTTTTGATTAGCATATATATATATATATATAAAAGCGAATCTATCTGAGAGCGTTACTGATTGAAGATAAAATAAAAATGTGCATTTCGTCAGGATTCGAACCTGCAAATTATTAGTACAGACTATTATTACATCAATTATTATTATTTGAAGTCAATTGATTGATGGTGACCAGCAGTGGATTCCAGGATGCGAATTTCGTCCCATCTGGAACTCGTCCACTGAATGTCCCTGCATTCCCCAGTGAACAATGCTGTTCCCACTGAGGCTCGAACCCAGTGCCCGTAGTTTCAGACGCCAAAGCGTTATTCCACTAGACCACTTGGGCCACGGGAGCCACTTCTTGTGCAACGGGTCCTAGTAGTTATTATTTAATTCATTTTAGATTTTCCCCTGGGACTGATTGGCCGAAGTGCTCGGTCTCAGGGTGACATGTCGCCTTCTTGTGTCATGCAACTTGAATGCAGAGGTACATCCAGCTTAGACGAGTCTCAAACAGGACGAAACGCGCGTTATCTTGGATTCCACTGCTAGTCACCATTCACCAATTGACTTCATGACCAGACATGACTAGACATCGTCGAAGCATCTGCACAAGGAGCCGATATGTCAACCTGAGGTCTAACACTTCTGTCCAATCAATCGGCTCGAAAATCTAAATTGAATTAAATAATTATTATTGGTTAAAACTTTCTAATTTCCCGCCTTCATTTTTTGTTTTACTAACTTGAAATTACTAGTGTTTAAATTCAATTTTTAATAAATGTGAAGACTATAAAGTCTGTCTCTTTCTTTCTCTCTCTCTCTCTCACACACACAAACATTCATTGATTATTTCCTTAGGAATTAAATCAAAAACTATCGCATATTCGATCAGCTAATGTTCCATTTGCAACGAATCCAGTTATGCAAGAACTTCAACTGCAAACATTTCAAGTTGCTCAACAAATTGATGCTCAACAAGCTCAACTTAAACATGTGCGTAGTCAAGCTGCTATGCTGAAACAAATCAATCTACCACCAAATTTATTATCATCCTCATCATCTAATCCATCCTCGTCATCATCATTACATGGTGGTATGACTGCTACAACAACTCCACTGTTGCCACCCTTATCAATGTCTGGTATGCCCGGTCAATCATCGTCTTCAAGTCTACACGGCATGTCTCCATTACCATTGAATTCAACTGGTAATTGTAATTCATTGAATCTGCTGACTACTAGTAATAATAATAATAATAATAATAATAATACGAATTCATCGTGGTCATTACAAAGTGGTTCAAATCTCGGCGGGAAATCTAATCATCAATTATTGAATAACAGTGGTAATAACAACAATAATAATAATATGACTAGTGGTGTTACAGATAACCATCCTGATTTTAGCCAAGATCAGTCGAATTTCAATATGATGAGTAAGTCAGTTATTCATGTTTTATGGCCTTTTTATGTGTGTGTGCGTGTGTCGTGTGCTCCATAGTGTAAGCTTTATCCTATCTTGTTTATGTATGATCTTATGTGTGTGTGTGTACGCACTTCAACTGACATAGTGATTTGCTTGGTTTCAAGTTCGATCACGGATGGATAGCTGTCTCGCCCTCCCCCCTCTCTTAGTTTGAAACTCTTCAGCAATACTAACTCATGACTCAATCCATCGGGGTCGAACCCAAAACTTTCAGGCTGCGAGGCGAGCCCATTGATCATGCAACTCCTGTAGTAGTTAGAATCCAGTGGCTAGTGAATGCTCACTTCTGTCAGTTTGCGATTAATAGAGCCAGTCAGTATCGCTAGCGGATATATTAATAATAATAATCTGCTTTATTCCAAAAACTGTACTTCTAATACAGCATAGAATTCTCAACATTTGTCACAATATGCCATCTAATTTACTCAAGATAAAAATAAAATTAACCATAGGAACTTTCCCACCTTTACATTGGGAATAATTTCAAAAAATGTGCAAAGTATAAGATAGAATAATAACTATAATAATGGTAATGGTAATAATAACAGTGGGTTTAGTTCAAACAGTAATTTCGATACAGTATGGAAATCGCAGCATGTTGTAGAATATTGAATCTAATGTTCTCTTGATATATAGTATGGTGAGGGGAGAAACAAAAGATAAACACTATTACAGAGTTTAATTGGTGTTTACAATTACGAATATAATCCGAGTGATTTTGACTTGGTTGTGTTTTCTGAGCTGGATAGTTAATTTGCGAAGCTTTCATTACCCTACTAGGCGACATCTTCAGCGTATACTTCAATTTGATGAAGTGAGGTTTTCGATTTCTCCACGAGTTTATTAGTCAGCTATCCTGATGGGTGGCCTTGAACAGCGTGATTGGTTGTTTTTGTGTGTTTTCACACCCTCAAAGCTACTCGTATTGGCATTGGTGTTGATTGTTTCCTTGACTTGAACTTTGACTCTTTTTGAGTGAGATTTCCTTCTTATAGGTTGGTAAATTTTGTCTATCTCGATGTGTCTATTGATTAGTGATTCACCGGAATACCAAGATTCTAAAAATTCTCTAGCATGCTTGTTGTTTTCTCTGTCTAATATAAAGGATGAGGAAGAAGGAACTCTGGCGAAGAGATAATTAAGTTACCTATCACGCAAAAAATCTTCAGGTAGAAATGCAGTTAGATTGGGCATACGCTGAAGAGACCTTTTGGTGATATCACACAGTTGAATAGTACCCGAGTTAGGTGTCCAAGAGTGACACTGAAAAAGTCATGTGTGAAGAAGATGAAAGTTTATGGACAACCGTTGAGTCGGCTAAAATGACTGCAGAAGACAGCGTGAAACAGAGGTATGCTTCTGAAGTTTTTTGTTCCCCTCGGAACCCACTTCTATCTTTCGTGTGAAATGGTATAATAGGGTGAGCAACATTTGAGGTTAAGCATCGGTCGAGTGCTAGCTAAGGATGGGAAATCAATCGACGAGGCTGTGAAGCTACATCGACTGAGATGGTTAGGATATGTGTTACGCATGCCTAAAAATCACCTTCCTCGAGAGTAGGAAATGTTAGGTGACATATGGTCAGGTTGGAAAAGAGCCAGCTATGGTCAAACCAAAACATGGCCTCATCAGTCAATGAAATCCACAACAGTTAGTTTAAGCCAGCCACGTAGGAAGATATAGACTTCCTGGTTGGGGTTCTGGGGACGGTAAACATCAATGGCTGGAGACAATTGGTGATATGGCTCAAAGTGATCGTTCTCAATGGCTAACATAGATGCATCGACTCCTTGTGACTTATAATACTCAATAAAGCTATATTGTTCTTCGATATTACTATTCTTTCTGCCTCACATCTCGGTTTACTGTCTCTATTTTGCATTCCTTTTTTCTTTCTTCTCTTGCTTTGTGTGCTGCATGGAGGAAGAGGGACGACTGAAACTGCTGCACATCGGTGCAAAGTTCTATGTTGAAACCAGTCAGTCGGTCAGTCAGGAACCCAAGGGGATAATAATCACAAATAATATGTTGTAGATTCACTTAACTGCCAGTCCTCATCAAATAATATTCACTATTATGGTAGATTTATCTTACTTCATTGTTGTTTTTTGATTTATTTTTAGATTCACTCTTGTGGGAATCCAGTCCATGGTCAGGATCATCCAGTCAACAACATCTTAGTGAAAATTTCTCCACTACTAATCGAAATCATCTATCTAGTGATAGACGTTGGCCGTTACCACCTGGTGCTGGCAGTGGTGTTACCGGTAACGGTAATAGTTCCTCTATAATATCATCATCATCATCTGCGAATCGATCAGCATTCATATCCTCACAACTTGCATCACTTGGTGATCCTAGATGGACTGATATTGCTAATGATATGAGTAATTCAACAGGCAATGATACAAGACAACAACAATCCCTTGTTGGCGGTGAAATTGATGAACTACGCAATTGTGGCGGCGGCGGTATAGACTATCCATTAATTCCAATTTCGATTTCATCAAAATCATGGTTACTAGCTCATAACATTCCTCCGCATGTATCTGTTGGTATGCTAAAAGCAACAGTATCTACTGCATTGAGTAATCACTTGATGAAATCATCAGAAGCACATGAGAAATCCGGTGATAGTAGAAATAATAATAATAATGGTGAACCCGAATTTGAAATTCATCCAAATATGTCAGCTAGATGGATATTATTAGGCTTATGCAATTCACTGCAAGCTTCAGTTGTTCATAAAAGCTTGGAAAATGCAAATAATAGTCAATTGAATGGTTATTATGGCTCGGTGAAATTGATTACACCAGCTGAAGCACTTCTTCATTTACAAGATATTCAAGTAAGAATATTATTCGTTTAATTTTTAATTTTGGTTTGTCTCTGTTACACCGCCAGTGATCTTCTATACACTATAAAAACCTTAGGCAGCAATTTTCGAATGTCTGGTATGGGATTCGCTCGCGCCAAATGTTTGAGATGATGCTACAGGACTGATTGCACTACACTGACTCATTCCTAGCTTAAAGATAGGGAGTGAAGTAGTGGTATGAACGTGTTGACCCGTTCACTTATTTGGGGAGTTGCATCAGCCAGCGCCAATGGGTTGATCGCTGACGAAATCTTAGCATGGATACAGAAGGCTAGTTTCGCATATGCCATCTTTAGCGTACACGTGATATTCAGTTGTTGACCAAAGACGTGTGTACTGCTCAGCAGTTCGCTCCCTCCTCGTGTATGGCTGTGAGACATGACCACTAAAAGTGGAAGACATGAAAAGCTTGGCTAGCTAGCTGTCTTTGATCATAGGTGTCTGCGTTCTACCTCCTGTGTTAAGTGGTATAATAAAGTGAGCAATATTGAGGTTAGACATCGGCCGAGTGCTAGGTAAGTAGAGAGGGTGTGAAGTTACACCGATTGAGATGATTAGAACATGTATTACGTATTCCCTAGGCATCGCCTTCCTCGACGAGTCATGTTAGCTGACGTAGGATCAGATTAGAAAACAGCTAGTCGTGGTTAAACAAGAAGATGGCTTCGTCAGTCAACGAAATCCAAACCAGTTAGTTTAAACCAGTCAGGTAGGGAGGTGTAGACAACCTGACTCGTCGGGTTCTTCGGCGGCATGGTAAGAACTAATGAAGGTTGGAGAAAATTGGTGATATGGCTGAAGATCGTTGTCAATGGCTGGCGCAGATTCATCCACTGCTTCTGTTTTATCATATCCAATAAAACTCTTTTGTTCTTCCATTGTTCTTACTATTCTTTTTCCCTCACTCACACTTCTGTTTATTATCTCTTTCTTTTGACGCTCCGTTTACTCTCTTCTCTTGCTTTGTGTGCTATATGTAGGGAGAGGGGCGACTCAAACTGCTGCACTTCTGTGCAAAGTTCTATGTTGAAACCAGTCAGTGGATTGTGGAAGTCTGTAATCTGTTTCACTGTGCATTTGTGGGTCATTGAAGTCCGTCCTAAGTGGTTGGATGGACAGCGAATGGGCCTCATACCTCGTAAGTCTTGGTGTGTGGGGTCTTGGCTGCACATTGCCGACGAGTTTTGAACTAGGATGAGACAGCTAGCCAATGCTTTCTGGCCTTCAGTGATTCCGTCACTGATGTTGATTGCTGATGAAATCTACCCTAAAATTAATCCAAATCTGTAGAAAAATACTCAGTCTAAATACCAATCCCCAACTCATTGACGGTTACTGGATGGATGTCGTGTAGTTTTAATGAGAAGGTGGGGGTGGGGTTCGTATGTCGAGGCACAGTAGATGCTCATTGTGAAGGCATTGATCGACGGTAGCACTACATAAAATAAATTGACCTAGTTAGAATTCACAAACCACTTTATCCCCGATTCCCGTGGCCAAATAGACGTTGAACTTGTTTCCCCTAACCCCTAAGACTCCGGGTTTGATCCCTGATATGGTGGATTATAGGTACGGATTGCTTAAGCGTTTCGAAGTTAGAATTCATGAGCTATTGAATCGGATCCCAGTGGCTGAATGGTATACGAGCCGGCTTGCCTTGTAACTGGAAGGTCCTAGGTTCGAATCCCAGAGGGTGCGTACTGCCGATGATTCCCAAACTAGGATGAAACAGCTTTCCAGTACTCCAGTAGTCCAATGCTGGTTTTCAATGGTTCTCTAACTGATATCAATCCGTGATCAACTCGTGCAATTCATAAATGCTAACTGATTGTTTCAAATGTAAATAAATAGGCGATTCCTAAAGAAAAGATTTTTCAAGCACACTTGCAATTTTGAATATTCAATCTGATCTATACGGATCAGAAACTTGTCTGGTCACAAAGAATATTTCCAACAGCCTGTTGCATACATTTATCAACAACTGTCTTCGTTCTATACTCAAGATCAGATGGCCGGAAAGAATCACCAACAAGAAACTATGGGAACAAACAAAGCAAGAACCAATCACTCAACAAATATGCAGGAGAAAGTGGAGATGGATTGGTCACTCGCTGAGGAGGCCGGTGGGTGACATCGCGCGTCAGGTCAATGCTCGAGTTGAACCCGAAAGGGAAGCGGCGAGTGGGACGTCCAAGGGCGACATGGAGGACATCGTGTGAAGAAGAGTTGAGACAGTATGGATTAACATGGATGCAGGTGAAAAGTATAGCAGAAAACAGAAGCAAGTGGAGACGTGCAGTTGAAGCCCTATGTTCCACTAGGAACCCAAGGGAACAATAATAATAATAATAATAATAAAGGAGCAGTCGATGGCAGTGTCTTACAGAGGTAAGACGGAGTATTTATTGTGTCTATACCGAGATTTCGTCAAAGTCACTAAATAAATCATAGTAAATCCAATTTCCCCTGGAAAAGCGAAGTTTTTCGACATCCGAAATCCATTTCACTTCTCTTACTGGAAACAGCAATAAACGTCATCTTCCTAATTGTTAAGTGTTTGCAATATATTAGCATGTAGACTGGTTGTTTTTTATGAGTTATGTCTTATCGACTGTAGTTCAACAAACCCTTATACCCTTGCATTGATTGATGACGTGATCATCATATCGGACAATTGCTTATTACAAGGCATATTTATTTCCTTTGGGAACCGAAATCATTTAGATCATACCGAGCGTAGCTGTAGCCCTTTTACCCGCAGCAATCAATAGTGCTTGCTGGTCAGCCAGCCAGATTGTGAAGGGATCTAAACACCACTGGATGGCCGTTTCACTAGTTTTTTTGGCAGAGCTCATCAATGGTGTACCCGGCATGACTCACCCCAAGAGACAGCTGAATCATTGACTTTTTGCCAGCTACTTAGGCGAATCGGCACTACCCCGTAAACCTCAAACTCACAGTTCGACTGATGAAACTTCACTGCAGTTTCTTTTGAAAACCAAATTATTCAGATCACAGTAAGTGGGATCTGCTCGGTACCACCATAAATAGTAATCAAGAAGAACTGAGTAATTGTCATGCACTTTATTTAATTATATTATTGTAAACCATGTTAGCTGTAAAGCGGTTGTAAAGGAACTACGAAATGACGATATTATCTCGCGAAATTTGTCTTCTAAATGCCTTATTCAAATTTATCATAGGGTCTAATTGTTTTAATTACCATATTGTTTATTTCAACTCATTAAAAATGCCCATTAAAATTTTTTCAAAAGAATGGATACTTAACAAAGAGTACTCTTTTCGATAACTACATCATCAGGCTCTACAGTTATATATCCATTCGTAATACTGATAGATTACAGCTCAGTAGCATCAACATAAAATAAGCTGAATGTCAGAAAAATTAGGAAAGATAATATTACAAGTTCATGAGTTTATAGTTTCTACTGAAGGCCGGCCAGGGCAGTAGTAGTGGCTGGGTGGACTTGCTGCTTTTGAACACAGAGCACTGGTTGTTTGAGGCGAATTGTAACAGCCTCTGTTGTTTAGAGCATGCGGTGCTTCGATGATTTTGACAATTTATTAGGCACCCGGTAGATTATAGAGAAGGATTCTTCAACGTTGGGTTTGTGGCTGGTTTGGACTAGATGGTCCAATGTCTACCTGTTGATGGTTTTCACTACAGCTTTACTTAGCCATAGTGGGATATGTTGTCGAGCACGAAAAATCAAGTTCCTAGAGCAGCGGCCAATATAAATCGCTCCACAAGCGCAGTTGAATTGGTAGATACAATTTGAAGTGGCTAGTCTAGATACTTCATCTTTCAGTCGAGGTAGCACCATCGGTCGTGTATGGAATAAAACGTGAAGTTCGCCAGCATTAGAAGTTCGTTGAACTGATTTTCTTAATCTCCTCGTAATTATCTCACTTGGTATATCGCCGTTGAATTGTAGTCATATATAAAGTGGCTTCTTGTTTACAGATAGTGAGTAGTCCTTTTCCGCTTTCTTTGTCATGTGTTTCTTGATAAATTTTTCGGAATAGCTATTTTCGACCAAAGTATCATATACAATGCTTAATTCATCTTCAATTACTTCTTCTGAGCATATAGGTCTAACTCTGTGTCTGAGGGTCTTCACTAAATTTGCATCCAAATATTTGCCTACTGATTGACTGAGATGAGAATGAGTCATTTCAAACCACCTCGAATCACAGTTAAGTGAATAATACCATTTATGGCTTCTAAGGGAAACACTCTGGTGAAAGTTTACCTCGAACTGTGTAAATTTTGCTAATTTGAGCGATGGTATCACCAGTTTTTCCGAGTAGTTAGCGGGAAATCAAGATGGTGGTCAAATTGGTTTGGCTCTCTGACATGAGTTAAACGACGTACAGCACTGATGACGAACTCAACTGCAAATGAGTGAAACAGCCATCTGGTGTTTGAGATTCCCCTCGATCTGGCCAGCTAGCTACCCAGCAAGCACTAATGATTGATGTGTGAGAGTGATGCGCTTGTATTATGCTTGTTAATGGCATTTTATGGCTTAAAATTTCACTCTGTTTTTCTCCTTCCTCTCTTATAGTCTCTAGCTTCACGATTGAAAGGTTTGAGTACGGATAACTGTCTCTCGTCGGCATCATCCAATCTTCATTCGATCAATCAATCATCAAGTATATTGACAGGATGTGATTTCAATAGTGGCAATAATAATATTAATAATAGTAATAATCTAAATAATGATATTTCTGGATCAAATTATTCAATGATCGGATCAAATACTGCAAATAATAATAATAACAATAATACTTCAGATATCTAAAAATTCAAATCTTTCACTGAAATTCTTGTGATCATATCTCACCTGTGTGTGTGTGGGTAGGTGGGCAGTTGTACGTTTGTACGTGCGCGTGCGTCTTGATGACTGACGCCAACTGGCTGGTCAATCATTTTCACCATGCTTCCTGTAACACACCCACGACACTTTGTTTATACATTGCGCGCGCGCGCTCGCTCGCGCATATATATACATGCACACACTATATTATGTGGTCTTATTATTCCTCAGTGATTATCATTATTCGTATTACTATCATCATTAATTTTTGTTTTGTTTGTTGTGTTTATTCTGATATTCCTTACCCCCCCCTGTTTTCATGCAAAGCATTTCAAGTGTTTTTAGAGGAGAGAAGAAACAAATTTTTTTCTTTTAAGAAAAAAGTGGTTATGAATGCATCTCACGTATTTATGCTTTATGTGAATATCATTCATTATTGAATAAATATGTTGTCGCCCCACACCCACCCACACATTCACATATATACACACACAATACACAATAAAGAAGTGTAAATAGAAAAGTATTCACAAACACGCACAGACGAACACACACATCCACACCCAGTTTTCATATCCTCATCAGGATTTATTTCTCCATTAAAAATCAATAATTGAATAATGAACAACGTGTCCATTTCCAGTATCTTTCTTGTAATAGTTGTCAATTTTTATGGGCATCTCATATTCCCCTTCTGCCCCCCTCCCTCTCTTCCTCCTACACACACACGCACACACAGACACGTACTCACAAAATAAATGCGGAAAAAAACAAACGAATTTCAGCTTCTCAACTTTCTTTCTTTCTTTCTTTTGTTGTACACCCATACCTACACATACAAAAGAGGAAAATGTTGTTGTATGTGACGTAATCGTTTATCCTCGTTTGTTTATTCATCCGTTTGTGTGTGTGTGTGTTTGATTGATTGATTGTTTAATTTTATTTTGCTATCATATCATTATTTTTCAGTTAGTTTTAATCCATTTTTTTATTTTCATTCCTTATATAATTAATTATTGATGATTACTTCTCATATAGATATATACATACATATATGTGTGCATATTGTTGTGCTCAGCTGAAGTTTTTCCCAATTTTTTCTGGCACGCTTGTACCTGTGTGTTTCTGTTTGTGTGTGTGTGTGTGATTGTGGAGATCAGTTTCTCATATCTGTGTTAATATTTATTATTATTATTATTATTATTATTATTACCCTCTGTGTTTATCATATCTCATTTCTACAAAATAGTAAAGCTTTGGACAACTATTGCAGCATTGCCATTCTCCTCTTCTTCTGCCGCCCCCCCCTCGCTCACCTCTGTTCTCCGTCCTTTCATCTTTCCTCTCGTCGTCTCGTTTTGGTGTGTGTGCGTGTGCGCGCGCGTTTCTTTTTGTATTTGTCTGACTATTTTTCTATCTTATGTATTTTATTATATTGTAATCTTGTCGTATAATTTGCATTCAAACAAAATGAGTGGTGATTTTAATAGTTTAATGAATCACAGTTATTTTTAGATAATAATAAAAATATTATGAGGGGAAAAAGTAGTTTGTGACGGCCTATGTCTGGAGACTAGCGTACTCCGCCCCGCCCCGCCTACACACGCACACACATACACACACTGTCTGTTGACAACTATTCTCACTATTGAGACGATTTCTTTTAACACACACACACAGAAGGTAACGAGTTCCGTACCTCTCTTCCTATCATCATTGTTGTTGTTACAATAATTCTCTGTGTACATTCATTTTCTTTTAATTTAATGTATTTTTAGTTAGTGGAACAGTGATCACAATTGTGAAAGCCTTTTTTTGTTGTTTCAAAGCTTTCAGAAAACACAACATAATGGGTGTGAGTGTCTGTTTGTCGGTGTTCACGCTGACTTAATGTATCTCCCATGAAACTTACGTGTAATATTTCTTTTGTATTCAAATTATTATTATTATTATTAATAATAATAATAACAATAATAATATACCGTCTCCAGTTTTCCTAAGAAATTTCAATAAACCCATTGAAAAAAAAAGTTATCCGAAACTTTCTGTTTCCATATGGTCTATTGTTATTTTTATTGAGTTTTTTTATTTCCCCTCACCCCTCACGCCATACTACTTAAATACATGCATAAGTATATACTACTGACACTTGTAATATCATGGTCTATTATTATTATTATTACTATTATTATTGTCTTTATTTACTGTCAGTCAGGACTATGCTTTCCATTTCTAGTTGTGTGTGTTTGTGTTGCTGTGTTGTCATTTTCTTGTCTCTAGTGCTGTGTATCAATGTGCCATTAATCAATATTTTTGCTTTAATTTTTTTTAATCTGCTCATTATTATTATTATTATCTCCAGTGTTCTCACTCCACCCCCAGTCTATCTCTCTTCCCCCCTTTTACAATATGTATATGTACATATAATAGAAGAAAGTAAAAATAGAAAAGTTGTGCCTTTATTATTATTATCATTATTATTGTTATATTCTTTGAAATACATGACATAATCGATCGAATGTATTTACTATCTCAACTGACGACGACGACGACAGTACACAGTCAGTCAGTTGCTGTTGTTGTTGTTTTACTTGTGTTCTGTGTGTGTGTGTGTGCAGAGTTCCTTTGCTTCGTTTTTCACTCATCATGCGTTACCATAGCAGCAACAGCAGTAGCAGTTGTAGTTGACGTTTTGCATCCATATACACTAACATACATACATTTTCTCACTACCACCTACCTCTATGATTACTTGTTTATTCTATTTCTGTGTATCACTGATAGTTAAACACACACGCACATACATACACGTACGCACACACTGACAACCATCTGTATGTGTGTGTGTGTTTATCTATTGAAGATGCAGGAGGTGTACTCAAAAACACACATGCACACAGAGACAGACAAGTATATATTCCATAATATATATATATATGTGCGTGTGTATAGACTGAATTTTTCCTCCTTTCTTCTCTTATATCTTTTTCTTTTTTGCCCAAAATTGTTTTCTTAAACAGTACAAGGATGAGAGTGATTGTGAGGAAGCTTTGTGTCGATGGTGAAGATTATTTTTATTGTTATTCCCACCGTCCGTCTTGTATTCCCTTTTTCTGTTTTCTTTCTACACTCAGTCGTAGTCAGTCAGTCAGTCAATTATTTGTTGTTTATTAAATAATAAGAGTGTGGTGTGTACTCTTTCTTCCTGAATGAAAACTTGTAAACATTCAAATTGATTGACTGATTGATTGATTGATTTTCTGTGAAGGATATCATCCATCCTTCCTTATTTTATTTCCCTATTGTTCATAATATATGATCACAGTATATACACTGTGATGTATGTTTTATGCTTGTGTGGAATATTATTATTACTAGTATTATCATTATTATTATTATTATGATAAATCATAATTTGTAGCATTTCTAAAACAAAAATAATAATAATATTAATAACAGTTTACCGTAAACATTGAAACATATGACTTATTGTGCTTTTTATTTATTTTGGTCGTTTATTTTGCCTTCATATTACGCGCTCGCCCGTCCGCGCGCGCGCGTGTTTTAAATTTCCTGTGTTTTTCCCTTTGTTGGTGTACGTATGTATTTGTGTTCCATTCACCCTCTCCCTCTCCCTGTCGTTTTGTTTTTTGTTTATCTTTTTCTGTTTTCGTTTTGTTTTGTTTTTTTTGTTCATTCAACACAAACACAACAAATAAGTATTGCACAGTTAATTTGTACGCGTGAATTGAATATATATATGCATATACATAGATTCTGTTAGTGAGATTTTGTGTGTGTCTTCCTTCATTTGCTTTATACAGTATACAACACTGAATGGTTGGATGTTGAGGACAAATACTTACTTACTTACCGGTGGTGCTAAAATCGTGTGTGATCAAACTTGAAGCATATCAGATTCCTACAGAACAAACTGTTGGAAACATTAATCCGATGCTTGCTAGTGTGACTAGTTGTTTTATCAAGATGAAGTTTTTTCTCGGATCACTTCTAGTGAGAAGTAGTGATGAATTGGGGGAGGGTCCCCTGGGGTGGGAGTGATGAGAAATACTCGCCACTGATGAAACTGGCTGGTGACAGTCGCGCTAAAACAATGATGAATTGGTAAAAGTTAGAATTCATATGGGCTAGCCAATGAGTGAGGTGCCAGTGACTGAATTGTCTATGATTTCAACTCGTAACTAGAAGGTCCTGGCTTCGAATGATTAAAAGACATGAGACAAATTGAATACATTTGTTATTCTCTAGAGTTTCATTGCCTATACATTGGTAAATGTTTTAAGCAAGCTTTAAAGTTCCATGCTGAGGTGTCATCAATAATTTGTCCATTGTAGCTTGCTACAATGTAGCAATCGTAAGAGATAGTTAGTAGATTGAATATAAATATTCTGTATGCACCTTACTACAATTTACAGAAGATGCTAAACAAATGCCTTATCATAAACCTGTATACTGTATGAAACAAATCTTTTCAGTGTTAATGACTCAACGTATGTAGGAACAAGAAGTGATGTTAATAATTCCTGTTTTTACGATTGGATTTTCTTAGGTTTTAGGAACTGACTTTCGTTAAGTGAATCAGCAGGGATTAAAGTTCAATAAATCAAGGGTCGAAATTCGAGTCATCATACAATTGCGATATATTCCTATCATTTTGATATTAAATGTAGAAGAGGATATGTGGAATTAATGGAGAAGCTTTGTAGGCCATGATGATGATTGAGATTTTTTAAATTATTTTATTGTAGCCTGACTCCATTCAGTATTTTCGATACAAGTATGGAATTTTCAGCATGTGATATCGGTAGCCCAAATTTAGCAGGCCGACCATTGATATCAGGTGTGCGTTGGCTGGGGATCGAACCCCTGACCATGTGCATGGTCGGCGAGCGTCCTTACCGCTGTGCCACCGACACACATAGCTTTATTTTCCGATCTGGATGGTTTATTTGCGAAGCTTTCAC